GAGAGCAGAGCAGAGGGGCAGAATCCCCTCCCTCGCCCTGCTGCCCACGCTGCTCTGGATGCAGCCCAGGACACGGTTGGCTTTCTGGGCTGCCTTAGTTGCCTGTGACTTCTCCATGCCACGGAATGAGGGCTACTTGAAAAAATTCCGTCTTCTGCGCTTGGCTTTGTCTTCCCTTTGAAATACGTGTGTGTTTGACATGGCTTTAAACCTTTGGCTGCGTTCCACGTCTATAAGCGCGGAGTACAGAAATCGGGATCGTTAATTGATGTATCCATCTGGTTACTGTGCAATTGCAGGAAGTACTCCGTGGAAGGACTGTCATTTATTTAAAACGCCGCTGTAAAATTTGATACGTAGCGCTCTGAGTTTGCGAGGGTGGCTAGATCCGAGTTTTTTGTGTTTTTTTTTTCCAAAGACATGGAGCACTAGCAGCTTTTTATTTTCTCATGCGACTTGGTCCGGGCTGTGTACTAATGTGCTAGTGATTAACTTGCAACCTTGCAGTGCCAAACTCTCCAAAGTTAGTCGGCTGCCAAAATTGTGTTGTTCTCTTCAGGAGCTTTTGTGTTCAACATTGTTAGGAATCCAGACAGCCTTTTACTGCAATTACATCTTTGTTATAAGCAGTTCTCTTAAACTCTAACAAAAAGTATTGTTGATGGTTTTCTCTGGTTCCTTTGCTCTGGATTAAATTATCAGCACTGAATAGTTAGTTTAAAAAAAAAAAAAAAACAAAAAAAAGAAGAAATGGAACTTTGAATCTTTCACTTATATTCTGCTGTTTCAGAAATTGATACACAAGCAGATTCTTTGAGAATTACAAAAAATTGCTGGAGTTGAGCGTGGAAAGTCTCTTCCAGACACCAACTCCTCGATGAGTACGTGGCTGTGGAGCTGTAGATGGCTGTTGTTTGTTCCAGATGTGCTCTTGCCGCTGCTTTTAGGCGCTCATCCCAAGGCAGTTGCCATGGCGAGCGGGGCAGTGCTGGGATGTCACCAGGCTCTGGCCTCCTTTCCTGGAGATTGGCATCAGGATGTGCTGGGAGCGCACAGCATTGCTCCCAGCTGGCTGCTTCCAGCCCGGGTGAACCATAACTTGTTAAAACTTTGTTTCTAACCATGGGATAATTGGGATGAGACAAACTGAGGTTGGGAAGCTGTTTGAAACAAGATTGCTTTCTGCTAGGTGTTAATTCCCTTGCCCAGGCTGTTGCAGGGATAAAAAAAACAACAAACTGAAGGTCTTCACCTTCTTCTAGCACTGGTAATGTTTACCTGTGTCCTTCCTGGGGCTTTCCTCGTGCGGGTTAAAAAGGTTACGAAGCAGCAGAGCTACAAATTCCAATCCACTTAGGGAGGACTTCACATTTGAGGGAGTAGGAGGGGGAAACTTGATATTCATTGTCAATTTTTGGCAGAAGGTCCGCGTGACGCTCATTCTTCTGTGTTTCTGGGTTTCAGTAGGTTAGAGCCATGGTCCTGAAGTGGTGGTATTGTTTGTCTTTGGTATCAGATTGTTTCCATCAGAAGTTCTAAAAAGATACAAGTGGTTTGGGTTTGCTGTGGTCGTTTTCAAATGGGGGGGTAAGAGGGGAGTGTTTCTGCATTCTTGTGCAGATCTTTATCAGGCGTTTCTCAGGTTTTCACTGAGCCTCTGACCACAGGCTGACAGCTCGGCATCTGCAGGATGTCCAGCAGCAGGATCCCTCCCAGGCAGGAGCAGATGCATTTCGGACAAGTGTTCAGCCCATCCTTCCCTCTGAGCGAGCTCGCCGACGTGCTGTCGCAGAACAGCAGGTTTGTTGTCTGTGGGACCCCAAAGACAGCCAGGGTCAAAATTCCTTGGACCTCAACGAATGTAGAGGTTCAATCAGCTCCACTCTCCATCGCTTGGAAGCCTCTTTTGGACTAGCGTGTTGTCCATCAGCGTTGTTCCCCTGGATATCTTCTCTCCAGCTCTCTTACAACGAACACCTCCTTTTCTGCCTCAGTGTCCCACAGTTAGAAGAAGAAAAGCTGGACCTTCACTTCTCGTTGATCCTTTCCCAGCACTTGCTGGCGTTGTGATGTCCTTGGCGTGTATTGCATTTAAATAGTCTGTCTCATCCCTCTTAGAGTTGATTTTAAAAATCTTGGAACTCCCCAGGACAGACTAATGCGCTAAAGTTCTTCTGCTTGATCCTGTAAAGAAATTTTTTTTTGGTGGAATTTGTTTCTGTACTGTTGTTTGGGGTTTTTTTTACAGCTAAAATTATTTTATTTGAAGTGTTTCTGTGTTCTGTACCCGAGCATGGTGGTTAACTCTGATTAAATGCTGAGCAGAGCACTGTGAAACCAGTGGTTAGGACTAATGCATTCGTGCAGTTTCTGCATTTATGTTCTCTGTGAGCAGAGCTTGGTGTTAACTCTGACTTAAAGCTGAAATCACACTGTTCCAGAATAAATAGCACTTTAAATTTTATTAAAATAAAAACATGTTTCCGGTTACTTTTGTCACATATGGAACAACTTAGCTGAGCATCTCGTGAGTGCGCTTAGACTGCCTCTGAAATCGAATACCTGGATTCTTCTAGCGGTACTTGAGTGTGTAGGACAGGTCATTCCGTGAATTAAATTGTTGTTCCAAGCAAGCCTTGTCATTCAGAATTCCATGGAATGAAGAAGTTGGTAGAGTGGTGTGTTTTTCTTTTAGGATGTTTACCTCTATGTATCACAGCACTTTCCAGTATTCTTTTTTTTTTTTTTTGTCCTTTTTTCTTTGACAGCTCACAATGAGTATCTACTTCAGCAGATACCTGAAGCTATTTACTGAATCTTTCTTCCCAGGTCTGTTTTGAAAATACCCAAAGAGGTTGCTAGGTGCTTGCTAGCATTTCAGTACCCATGGGATGTTTGCATTTTGATTTGAGTGATGCAAGTGGGATGGGACAGGGATGCTGTTACTTTAAATTGCTCTTTGCACTTCCCATATCTTTAAAAACTGTACTGTACTGCCAAATGTTTGCTATATTTATAAATCTAGAGTTATACCCCAGTATGTCTGCACAGAAAGATGCATCGTTGTGTCCAGGCTCACCAAGTTCAGCAGTGCAAGATGCTGATGTTTGGTGGAAAGTGTTGCTCAGTTTGTTTTGGTGCAGATTTGCGTTCCTTAAAGACAGCTGGTGGTTGTGGTTGAGCGTAGAGTGACACAGGTAGCAGAACTTGCAAAGTGAGGTCCTACATAGCTATTTTAGATTTTTTTTTTGGTTGAAGGGGCATAGATATATATCACCTTGGATGCAGTGAGTGGGACTTGATGAATTAGGAAGGAAGCAATACCAGGTGCTCTGTCTGGGCCCTGCTAACTCTAAGCTGCAGGACAGTTTAATTCCTGTGTACCAATTCCCTGCCCCCATCTATCCAGCTTGGCCTCATAGTTTGGATGTTTGCATCTACGAATAGATCCAACGCTGTGTAAATATTCTGGTTGGTTTTGGATGCCCTTGCTGAGTGGTATATAAACTCCAAGGTAGATCCTTAGTTCCGAAAACAATTTTTAAATAAAATCACCACTGTGTTTTCCTTTGTGGTTAAACCCAAACAAAAGCAGCTTGCTGTGGATATTAGCGTCCTTTTCAAAGTGAGATCCACAAATTACTTAAACGATAAGCATCCTGTTTGGAATAATTAGTAAGAATCCTGCTGCGCTGATGTAAGCTTTAAATACTGAGTGTGAGTTTTGTGCCATGTTTTACCATTTGCCAGGATTGCAGCAGTTGCTACCAGCATCCCTGGTGTTGCACAGGGCACGGTTCTTGCTGCAAGTTTACAGTTTAGCAGTGCAGCTTTCAGGACTGGGCACAGCAGAAGACTTCCCCGCTGTGCATGAGTGCAGTGCTCTGGATGGGACGTGTGGCAGAGGTGGGAGGAGCACGGAGGTGATGCTTTGAGTCTGTGGCTGCATAGCCTGATGTAAAGTCTGTCAGACTTCCCAGTACAAGAAGGACATGGAGCTGCTGGAGCAGGTCCAGAGGAGGCCATGAAGATGATCCGAGGGCTGGAGCACCTCTGCTATGGAGACAGGCTGGGAGAGTTGGGGCTGTTCAGCCTGGAGAAGAGAAGGCTCCGGGGAGACCTTCCAGCACCTTCCAGTACCTAAAGGGGCTACAGGAAAGCTGGAGAGGGGCTTTTTACAAGGGTGTGTAGTGACAGGACACGGGGCAATGGATTTAAACTGAAAGAGGGGAGATTTTGTTGGGATCTGAGGAAGAAATTCTTCCCTCAGAAGGTGGTGAGGCACTGGACCAGGTTGCCCAGAGAAGCTGTGGCTGCCCCATCCCTGGCAGTGTTCAAGGCCAGGCTGGATGGGGCTTTGAGCCACCTGGTGTAGTGGAAGGTGTCCCTGCCCATGGCAGGGGGGTTGGAACTGGCTGATCTTTGAGGTCCCTTCCAACCCAAACCATTCCATGATTCTGTGATTCTATAAATAGGGTAGATTTAGTTGTCTGAAGCAAGATAACATAACGTGGCACTCTGACAATGGGTGATGTCTCTTTGGTTGCTTGCGTTTGTACCATTCTGGGTTTTTTTGAAATCTTCATTGATTTGTTCAACTGCAGCATGTTGGATTCAGCTGATTCAGTTCATTTTAAATGCTCATGAGTTACAAAAACATCTCTGGGTCTTACTTGGAACAAAGTAGTCTTTTTTTTTTTCCTGTTTCAGAGGTACATGCCACAGGGTTCAACTATCAAAACGAGGATGAAAAGGTTACTCTCTCATTTCCCAGTACTCTTCAGAAAGGTAAGAGCTATTTTCAGGCTTTCTGCTTGCTTCAACTCTGTGTTTAAGACGTTTGCACTTGCAAAAGCTGGAGTAGGACAGCTCTGTCCTCCCTGAAGTTTCTGACTGTGAGGGTAGTGCTCCCTGGGGAGTCTGTCCACTCTAAGTCACTTTGTAAGCCTCTGGAACTGGAAATGTTGTTTCACTCATGGTGATGTTTGCTTCCAACACCTGAAGTGACTCTAATTATTTACCTGCTGTTGGGAGTTAGGCTCAGAAGCTGTTTATGTTGGTCTGTTTTCCTCTTGCTGAGGATGAGCTATTCTGAGTTGCTGCAGTATTTTCCTAGGCGTGAATGTGCTGATTCTTTTGAAACTGCCACAGTTTTTTGCTCTGAGTTTGTCGATTGAAAGTCAGCTCCTCAGTTTGAATAAAGCAGTTTTATTTCATCTTGACAAGTACAAATATAAAGATTGTAGGGTGATAAAACTTTAGTGTTTCATTCTGTGGGATATTGGCATGCTGCCTCTCTGATCAAGATCAGCTTTCCCCTTTTGCACTGGGACATGGAGGCAGAATAAATCCTGAGACTAATTGTTTTACCAGCTTGAACGCAGCCAGTGCTCCATCTTTGGTGGTAGATGTCACAGGAGGCTGTTATTACTTAGCAGCCATCCTATATTTTTGCAAACTTTCCTCAAAGGTAAGGATGGTGGGATGGGACTTCTCGAATGGCTTAAGGCAGGTCTCTTCTGGTTTTTTGCGTTGTGTTTGGAAGATGAGGGTGAGTACTGCAGCAGCCTTTGTGGTGAGCCTGGCTTTGCCTGCCTTGCTCTGCTGGAGTTTTTTTGTGTAAGGAGAGTGAAGGGTTTGAGGGAGGCTGGCAAAAAAGTGATGGGTGGAGACGAGTTGAAGGGACGTCTTATTTCCGAAGGGCAGTGGGCCAGCCGAGCCGCCTGGCTTGGAGGTCCAGAGCAAATAAAACGTTCTGTTTGGCACGTGCAAATAACAGTGTCCCATCTGCTTCTGTTACAGGGACAGGGACGCTAAAGATAGACTTTGTAGGGGAGCTGAATGATAAAATGAAAGGTTTTTACCGAAGTAAATACACAACCCCTACTGGAGACACACGCTATGCTGCTGTCACTCAGTTTGAGGTACGAGCTATACTTCTGTTTTCAGAAAATGTCCTTCTTGACCTGGGATTTGTTCTTAGGAGAAGCAAAGACCTGAGTTTTCCTAGCTGTAGCTATACCCTCTGGGTAAATTTGAACAATCCATATTTATTTGCTTCTTGCTCTGAGTGTGCATGGGTAATACTAAAAGGAGCCTCTACGTTGCGGCTTGAAGGTCAGTAAATTCTGCACCTGGCAAATTCCCCAGCCAGGGATGATGCTAATGTGTGATGCATCCTGTAGGTACAATAGCTGCAGTGTTTAAGAGCAGCTGTTTATTTAGATGTGGTCACATATCTCTGTATAACTTTCCTTTATGAAGTGTATTATTTTTTTTTAAGATATGAAGTATATTAATTTTTTTAATAGGACATTCTGCCTTTATCTCAGTGTCTTAATGACATCCAAAATGTGAGCCAGATTCTGTCTCAAGTATTATGTAAGCCCTGAACATAATGACAGAATTTTATGTCATATTGTAATTTCATAGTCATTTGCCTGGTTACATAAAACCATGGAGTATGTACCTCGCACAAATAGAACATTTTTTGGGTGCAGTCTACTGACAGAATATAAATAGGTGGTCTTGTGTGTATGGTCTGTGAACGCCTGGGTGCCCTCTCTGCTTTCACATGACTGAGCTTTGCTCCTGTCATGACTCTGCTAAATTTTGCTCAGACTGTAGGATTCCATCAGAGCACAGAGTGCTTTTCAGCTGCATTTTTTTTTTTTAAAAAAAAAAAAAAGTGAAATAAGTTACCCCAGTAAGAATAAAACGCTCTAACACAGAGGTCAGGAGTGTCAATGAAGAGACTCCACACTAGTGACTAGCCATCATTCACCCAACTTCTTGCCTGTAAGTTTTTATGTGTATTTTATTGCCACAATCTTTTGTGATTTATTTGTTTAATGCTCTTATTTCCTTCAGGCTACTGATGCTCGCAGAGCTTTCCCTTGCTGGGATGAGCCTGCTATTAAGGCAACGTTTGATATTTCTTTGGTGGTTCCTAAAGACAGAGTAGCTTTGTCAAATATGGTAAGTTCTTGATGTGCAAGTAAACAGTGTTTTAAATAAAATTGTAATAATGCCAGCTGATTATTTGATGGTTAATAGTGTGCTCTGGTGACAGACAGAATTAGAATTATGGGCTGTCTTGCTTACTTAGCAGCTCTAAATTGAGAGAACTTTTTAAAAGATAGCATTGTGATGTCAGATGCACAAAACCTAAACAGGTTGTACAAACCACAGTGGTGCATGTTTGATTTTTTTTTTTTAAAAAAAAAGGAAAAAGTCTTAGCTTATGTCATGCCACGTACTCCTTGATTAAGAGTGACTGAGGAAAAAAAAAAAGTGCCTTTTTGTGTTTATATAGCTGTTATAGCTACATGAGCAGACATAGCACTTGAGATAAATAAGCATATTTTCTGCCCTAGAGAATTTCTGACCAGACCTGGGGTACAGTGTGCGAGTAGAAGTACCTCTGTCACAAATCCAAGTGGGCATTTCCAGGTTGCTGCTTTAAACACAGCACAAGTATTTCTAGAAGTTGCTGCTGGAGAGTTTGCAAATCAGTTTAAAAACAGACTCTTTTTTTTTTTTTCCAGTAGTTAACTTTCGTAATTACCTGTAAAGTCTAGCCTTGCACACGGACCACGTGGTTGTGGTTTTTGTTTCAGGATTGAAGTGAAAGCCTGATGCCTTTTCGTGGTGTGGTGGGTGATGATCTTTCTGGAGGGCAGCAGCTGATAGCTCAGGTGTTCCGCTGCCTTTGCAGCAACGGAATATAATAATATATATATTATTATATAATCATATCTATTATAAAAGTGCACTTCCCTCTATAATGAGGCACTTTTACTTAGGCAGGGCCTTACATTGTGGTCTGCACTTCGAAATCATCAAATAAGTCCTTTCATTTTAAGCGTGTGACTCACAATGATGAAACAGTCAAGCACATTGTGTAACACAGTTTCACTTCCACGAAACTCAACTTCTCTTTCACGCTGCAAGAACGTCATCGACCGGAAGCCGTACCCAGACGACGAGAACCTGGTGGAAGTGAAGTTTGCTCGCACCCCTACCATGTCGACGTACCTCGTCGCGTTCGTGGTGGGCGAGTACGACTTCGTGGAGGCCAGGTCCCTCGACGGCGTCTTGGTGCGTGTTTACACCCCCGTTGGCAAAGCGGAGCAAGGAAAGTTTGCGCTGGAGGTAAGTGGGTCCAGGACGTCGCTATTCATAGATTCATAGATTTCTAGGTTG